CTTTTGCTGTTAAATTGATGCACAACAAGCTAGATGTGGTTAACACCCTTTAGGATTGAGTAAACAGTGTGGAAAACAAATAGATCATCACTGTGGGAATAAAATGGTGCAGTAGGGAGCTGCAGTGGGATTTGGCTAACACTCAGCACTCAAAACAGTGGTGCAGTAGGGGGCTGCCATGGTATTCGGCCAACATTCAGCACTCAAAACAGTGGTGCAGTAGGGGGCTGCCATGGTATTTGGCCAACATTCAGCACTCAATACAGTGGTGCAATAGGGGGCTGCCATGGTATTTAGCCGATACTCGAGAGAATAGTGCAGTAGGGGGCTGCCGTGGGATTTGGCCAACATTCAGCACTCAAGACAGTGCTGCAGTAGTGGGCTGCCATGGTATTCAGCCGACACTTGAGTGAATGGTGCAATAGGAAGCTACTGTGGGATTTGGCCATTACTCAAGAGACAAGGCAAGACAGACATACGGCCAGACTGCTACTGGAACCTTCAGAATTTAAAATATGCACTGGTTGCTGAAGATGAGGACAGAGCACTTATGGGGACGCCCCAAGTGCAGTTCTGTGAGTTCATAAATCAACTCAGCCTTACTCAGGTACTTAGATATTGGTCTTTGTAGTTATCCACAGCCCACTTTCTACCCGTGACTCAGTGAGGACATAGGCCAGCAGCCATTGTGTTCCCTGTGATCGACTATTGTGAATGCCAATGGACTTCATCCAAATAGCTTATTGTGCCTTTTCTTCTTTTTGTTGTATTATTGTCCATATTGTTGGTATACTGATGAAGGCTTTCCAGCCCCAACATTCATTGTGTCTTTTATAATTGTGTTTTAATAGAAAGCTGAGTAGTTTTACTTCTCCTTTATTTTAATTTTTTTTAATCCGTTGAATTTTTATCATTCTTCAGAGCAACTCTGTCTCTTAGGTGTTGCAGTTTTTCCTGCCCTCTTAATTGAGCCATGTCCATAAAGCCACAAGCCAATTTTTTTATGTATGTTGTTGGCTTTACCAAGACTGCAATGTTTCACTTTTACTTTTTTTTTTCCCTTAAGGGGGAGCAGTAGGCATTCAGAGTTTGGAACAGTTATTGAGTGACCCATTTGCTATGCGGTTTGAACTGTGTTTAACTGATGAACTCACCAATTGCTGTAATTTTGAGTTTTCATGCTGAAAAATGTACCAGCAACAAAGTATTTTAAAGAAATAAATAAACAACACAGACTGTAACTTGGAAGCTTGACGAATGGACAGAAAAAAAAAGATGTGTACAAATACAACCTGATGTTTCAGCTCAGACTCTTATCAACAAATTACACGCATGCATGCCCGCAGAAACACGCACGCGTCTACACACACACACGCACACACAAGGGAATCGCAAATCACAAAAATCAAGGTCGCATATAACAGAAGTTCTCATAGTTAGGAAAATAAACATATTTTTTTTTTTTTTTTTAATGTGCTTGCACTGCTGAAGAACACGTATAAGCACAGTTGGAATTATGTTCCTCATGGCATTGCTGATATGTTTATTTAAGTATCTTACTTATAGGACACCCATGTACAGTGATTTTTTTCCAGTCGTGGTTTGTGATGTGTTAATTTATTTCTTGATACCAGCTCTACTGCGACTAGGCCCCTCCTTCCATAACATGCAACATTACACCGAGAAATGGTGCTAAATTAGAAACATACTTAGTGTATATTTTCATTCTCATTTTCATCTTGTGGTTGTGCTTTTGACTTTCTGTGACAGAATGTGTGTGTGTGCTAAATTAGAAACATACTTGGTGTAATTTGCATTTTTACTTTCATCTTGTGGTTTTACTTGTGACTTTTTATGACAGAATATTTGGAGATTATGTATCTATGCTTACCTGTCTGTCTGCTTATGTGTATGTTCTCCTGAGTCATACTCTAGTATTAAATTATATATTTTTTTTTAAAGTACTGTTAAAATTTGTCATGTGATTACAAAAACTAACCTTTAACAAACACAGTTGACTTTTCATACTCTATACAAAGCGTGTTCTTATCCTCACTTTAAATGCACACACACACACACACACACATATATGTCTGTATATATATACACACACACACACACACACATATATATATGTGTCTGTATAACCACACACACACACACACATAAATATTTAAAACCTGTTCTGTTTGACTACTTCTGTTGCAATATAAAGATGTGTGCAAGTGGAATATGAATCATATAAGTATTGAGGTGGATTCACAGGAACAGAATACTGTGGACCGTATAGCATGGGAATCAGACTAAAGGAAAGGATGAAAGCTGCGCATCTGAGAAGATGATGACAACAACAATCCAGAAATCTCAAGCTATAATTATGGACAACTTTTCATAACAAGGGGCAGGCCTTGCTAGTCTCAACCCCCTGCCTTCCCATCGCCTGTGAGTCGAATGCCTCCTCATAGCGCAATACTGCACTGTCATCTGGAAAGACGGAAAGGTGCCAGCAACAACTGTTCTACACAGAGACAGCAAGGACAGTAAGTAGACATGTAACGAACCTCTCACATTACTTGGTGTTTCAACGAAACATGCAAAAAATACTATTGATGGACAAGACATGGAATGAGACAGTTCTTCTAGAAACAAGATGTCTTCCTAAAGTTCCGACTAGGCAGGGAGTTAGGTTTCTTTAGGATTATGTATCTTGAAAGGGCATTGATCACATCGCTCCTTTGTCTGGTGCCGATTGGCTGGATGGGGAGAAATGGTGTCAGTGTAACTGCTGTGTCCACAAGATGGCGCTTGAGTCAAGTCTTATAGTAAAGGACCCATTTAGATGAATCTAGTGGTTATGGCCATATAGGGCTTGACCTAAATTTTATGGATCAGCCTGCGAGCTAAGGTCATTTTTGAAAAAAGTCCAGCTCCATCAGGACCTGAATTGCACGATCTTCAGATCTAGGGAAGAGCGATTTGCCGCTTCACCACGGTGGTTTGCCGCTTCACCACGGTGGTTTGCTCAGTTTTCATATCTTTAGTAAATTATAAAATTCCAAGTAAATAATTACATTTTAAATAAGTAATTATATAAAAACATATAAATAGAACACACTGTCGTGGTAATTTGGCATGGACAGTAATTTTTTTTTATTTTTTACAATGGGTACACTTGTAAAAGTTTAAATGAGAACTGAAGTTCAACTAGGATGACACAATGTGGGTTAGTTCCACAATCATACATCATAACACATGAGACAGTTGGGAGGGGTAGTTTTACATATATCTTGACACAGTAGAGTGAAAAGTGGGAAGGGGAGGGGTAGTTACATATGACTTGACACAGTAGAGTGAAAAGTGGGAAGGGGAGGGGTAGTTTTACATATATCTTGACACAGTATAGTGAAAAGTGGGAAGGGGAGGGGTAGTTACATAGTGACATGCATTTATTATGATGTAATGGTGGGAAAAAGGGGGGGGGGGGGGGGGGTCTGAGGGGTTACACACATTTACCATGATGTGATGGTTCATGTGGGAAGAGAAGAGTTACATGCATTTGTTATGATGTAATGGTGGGGGGGGGGGTGGGGGGGTTACACACATTTATCATGATGTGATGGTTCATGTGGGAAGAGAAAAGTTACATGCTTTTATTATGATGTAATGGTCGGGGAGGGGGGGGGCTGAGGGGGTTACACACATTTATCATGATGTGATGGGTCATGTGGGAAGAGAAAAGTTACATGCATTTATTATGGGGGGGGGGGGCGGTTTACACACATTTATCATGACGCAATGTTGTGGGGTGGGGAGGGGAGGGTGGTTTCACCCATTTATCGTGATGCAGGGGGGGGGGGGGTGGGAAACACATCTTGACACAGTGGGGGTGAGTTACACACATTTATCATGACTCAATGGTGTGGGTAGGGGATAGTTAGTTACACACATTTATCATGACGCAATTATAAGGGGGGAAAACGGGGTGGGGTTGGAAGTGGTAGGAGTCACTTTTTTTTTTTTTTTTTGGCGAATGTCTGAACATACTAACCTCGATGCATCAATGTAATCTAAATACTGGGATAACAAGCCTTTGTAACCATTGCCAGATATGGTCACTCACAAAACACCAGGAAGGACAATTAGTAACCGTGGAAATTAAATATCTTAGAGAAAAGATAAAAATCAAAAAGGAAGTCAGAAAACGTCGGCACGGAACCAGTTCAATGTTACTTACAAGGGCAGCATTTAATATGGCTTGTCCGCTTAGAGAGAGTGCGTGTCATGTGGCGCCATAACATACAAGGCATTAAGCAAAAGAAGAGCTAGGCGTACAGCACGAAGTAGACCAAGAACAAGATGCACAGATAACATCAGAGAAACTGTGCAACGTGACCGTGATCCAGGCAGTCAGAAGAGCAGAAAGCAAAACTTTATCTTAATCGAATCCTAAAGCCGTAGAAGAGAAAATGAAGCAGTGTGAATTTCAGCGTAAACATAACATCAGCTTACACGAGACGATGTGGGATGGCTAATCCTACATCACATTTAGTTATTCATTATATTAATATTAGGTGAGTTCCACGATAATCTTCCCAAACAAACTAGGTCACGTTCCATTCATAAATTTTGTTAGACTCGTCTGCTGTCCGGGGGGTTACGGGTTGCCGCTATGTTGTTTCCTTTCTGGCTTGTCTTGCAATAACTTTTTTCTTTCGAGAAAGAGAATAGCTGTGACATATGTTGCAGCACTCTCTAGGGGCGTTCAGTTTCTAAATGTTTTTGTAGTGTTAAAAGCGCTGGCGTGCTTATATATACAAGCCGCGATATCAACGGCATTGCTGAACACCCATGTAGCAGTGTGCGAAGGTCGGGTGACTGAAGGTCGACCAGTCAGAAGTAAGCCAATATGTATATGGGCGGTCGGTGGGGAGATTACTGTGGAACGCACTTATTATTATTATTGCAAATAAAAATTTTTATTAGTGCAAATGGCATCTCTGCTAGCAAAATCGGCATACAGATAAAGCCATTCTACGCCATTGCACATGATCTTCGTTTCCGGGAAAACGCCACGCGTTCTGCATTCTCAGAACATCAGGGATTTGACTCTCCTGGTAGCCGTCGATAAGTATGGGAACTATACGTCTGCTGCGATTTCTGGCTGACAATAAGACTGCCATGCTGGAAAGGAAACTACAAGTCTCGCAGTTGTTGTACTCCGGAGAAAGAACAACTATTGAATGTTTGCATCGTTCTTCCAACACTCTTGTAAAATTATCCAGTCTCATGACACCGAACAACCCACTTCTTTGAGAAAAATAGCATTTTAAATGAAATGGTGAACTTTCCAGATTTCTAACGAGTTCTCGCACAAAAAACTCACACCTTTCACTATCTTCGTTGTAGATGATGAACACATCATAAATTGCAGGTTTTCCTGGCAAGTCATCTGTAGTTAGTGAATCGTAAAGAGCACCTATGGGTGCCCAGTTTTCATGATGGTTATTCAGGTATTGCTCTGCGTCTCTTGAAATGTTCGGCATGCAGTCAGGAAAAATGTCCTCCCGTCCCAGCCTGAGCAGTGCTCTCACAAGGTTCCCAATATTAGGAATCACCTTTGCACTCTGACCCGTCTGCCACTCCCTGATCACTCTAAACGATTTGGTTGTTTCACACTGAATAGATTTAACAAACCCAAAATTAAGACCAATCAACTCAGCGAGACCAGTGTAGTCCGAAAACCAGTTGTCATCCAATGAATAAATTCTTATATCTAAGTACGAACTCAGTTCTAATGCAGTTTCGTCTGTTAGGGCGCTCAATTCAATTTCATGGTACCTGCGGTCCAAATATCTCGTCCATGTTGTATCGTTGTCACGAAGAAAAGTGGAAGCCATTTAATAAACTCCAACTTTTATCTGTAACGTCGGTGGCTGTGGCTTTTTGTGTGTTATGAATGCAGTTTCGTAATTTCGACGTACCCGCTTCAAACCGATTTGGCAAGAGGCGTTTTTTTTTTTAACAGTAGTATGAACAGATCAAAAAGCAGCGGCAAACTACTGAACGTAAAATTGTCTAGTAAAACCACAAAAACCCAACAAATGCCCTGGTTAGTTTGCAATGTCCTTAATTAACAATTAAAAAAAACTGTCACATGACAGTTTAAAAAAAACAAACACAAGTTATCCACACTGAGCCAATCGTCAATAACATAGCACGAATATGCCAACAGAAATGGCCCAGATACGTGGCGATATGAATATACTCCAATATTTGAAGTATAATAGGTGCTTTGGGACGGTTACCAGATTTTATATACAACACACATGTACGGCCATTACATACTGGGTATTTCCGAAAGTCTGCTATCCGATTACACATGTTCAGCGACCTTCACGAATTTATGTTATAGTTTGCACTTGTAAGACCCGGATTTGTTGGTCTTCTTCTTATAGACCGTACCGTGGTGTTGGTAGCTATGTTTGTCCACAGCCTTCTGTCTCATGAACTGTAAGTCATCTCTGATACGGCCCAGTTTCTCTTCTCCCTCTGCCTCTCTTCCCCTTTAACTCCTGTGTTGTCACATTGAACTCTATAGTTTTCTCCTTCTCACGACTTGGTTAAAGAGAGTACGTTGTCTTTTTGCGATGAGGGAATTCAGCATTTCCCTCGAGTTAATTTCCCACTGCTAGACAAGAACTGCTTTATTCGAGGTGTTAATTCGCACCATGAATCTTCGAACTAAAAAAATAGAGTTTGGCCAAGAAAAGCTACGGCAGATGCGACGAAATGAGGGCGCAAGTATGTAAATGTATGTGCGCATGCGTGCTTAGGAAGTTATGGTTTAGCTGCCAAGTTGTCATTTCCCATGTGCATCTGGCATCTGTCACACATTTTCTTTCACAAACAATATAATTCTTTAAGCGAATGGGTTACAGTTAAGAACCCTTCTTCCACTCTATAATGATAGACCTATATTTTATAGACCAGTCGGCACTCGATAGGTAATGTAGTCGAAATCATACAGCTGCCTTCACTTTCCAGGACTTTCTCTGGTACCCATTTAAGACTGGGTCGTTCTGAGAGCTAACGTCGCTTTTGGAAGAGAAAAAATCATGCTCGTTTTGGATTTAAGCCCATGACCTTCGGATACACAGGCGAGAGTCTAGCTGCAACACCACGGCGGCGGGTTCTAGATCTTGAAATGAATAATCGTGCTTTTTCTGGATACAGGTCGGATCATTTGTAAACAGACTTTGAATTCACCAGTACAGCTACATAACATAGGCAGTCATAACAATTAACCTTCCTTCTAGCGTTACTATTTTTAGAAATTATAACAGCTTGTGTGTAATCTAACGCAAATACAGTAAAACATAGATTCTGCTGGCAAACCGTGTGATATGTGAGAACGAACTTTCAAGTTATAAGCAAATAGGTTTTCTCATTGTTTGTGCTATAAGTCTCTCGCTCTCTCTCTCTCTCTCTCTCTCTCTCTCTCTCTCTCTCTCTCTCTCTCTCTCTCTCTCTCTCTCTCTCTCTCTCTCTCTCTCTCTCTCTGGAATGGATGTAATTCAGCACTTTCGAAGTTGGTAATTTAGTACATATTAAGTACTATATAATCCCTGCCGCGCAAAACTGTACTGTTGGTTCTACGGACGATGGTTTAGTACTTTATATAAATTTTGCATCAGTATTTTAATGTTTCCCGTTGTATGCTGGATCCAGTAAGTGTTACTGAAGGAAGACCAGTCGTGCCAGGGGTCACGAAATTTTCTAGCCCTGGTAATAAAGATCATCATGAACGAAGAAACAGATGGGGATCAAATTCGCTTTCAACCAGTTTTAAAATTAATGCCTAATCGGTTGCATCGCATTTTTTTTTTCTGCAGCAACAGAAAGAGTTCTGTCCCCGCTTAACAAAATTAAGAATTAAGATTAAAAAAAAAAAAAAAACATCGCTTTTCTGTGAAGACTTCAACAAAAAAATCTTTGTTGAGATCAAAGTTATTGTTCCAGTACATTCAACAGCGTTGTGACATATTGAACAGGAGAAAACAACCGTATAGGGATGATGAAATAGACAAAGAATTTAAAATCTGGTCAAATAGCTTCTTCTTCTTCGCGTTCACCAGCTGTAAACTCTGGTGGAAAGTTCTGGTTGTTCATCCACTTCTGCACTGCAGTCCTGTTCCAGAACTTGAGTGTTGCGTGTGCATCCATTTTACAGATCTGACTCATTTGTATGCTGACTGTTGTTCCTTGCTTCTCAGGCAGATGAACTCCGACTTCAAAGGTAACTCCTAATGGAAACCATGTGTGTATATATATAAGGTTTTCATCATGGTTACGAAGCCCTATAACAGGGAAAACCAGAATAGATGCAATGCCTACACAAAAGCATGTCGTAAGAGTCGACTAATTAGGAGCTTCCTTCGAAGTCGGAATGCATCTGAGAGGCAAGGAACCCAGACAGCCTTCCCCACCTCTGTTTTTTTTTCCATAAAGTAGCTTACCGCACAGGGAAGTTGCAGCAGCTAATCTCCTGGACAGAAACTCCATAATATGCTCCTTATCTGAGTCTTATCAAGGGATGCAAGACAGTTTCACTTGTCCGAAGCATGCTAAGCTGTCCGATACAGTTTTAATATTTCGGGCTGTGCTGCTTTCAAACCATTGGAGAGCTGTCGTTCCTGCCTCTACCTCCATTCTCATACTGGATGTATTATGGTGTCACATGGGCCCGAATGTTACTTGATCAGCTCTTGTACCGCTGAATCCATTTCACCAGCTATCCATTTCTGACATCCTCCTACACAAAGTGTCGGCATTTCACATTAGAAGTATGCAGAATTGCGTGTTTCTATCTTTCTTTTTCGTTGAAGCGAAACATATTGTACATTACTTTCTGAATGCAAGTCCTGTTTAATTATTTTAGTCGGTCTACGTTATTTTGAAAGCAATACATTAGTACTGTTATGAGTTATGAGTTAGATTATCTTCACAGCATTCAGGACACATCCATAGGCGCTCAGATTCACCTCTCAACATATTCATCAGCGTCGTGCGGTTAATAGTACCAGTCCTATGTTGGTTAACAAGACTTCGTGTGCGTCCAGTGTGCTTCTCATGCTTGGCTGTGCCGATCTTTACTCCCAATTGGCGTATTCTTAGAAGTGATGTTGACACTTTGCTACATTATTACTGTATTAAAGCCTTAGCGAAATATGTTAACGTTGGTTAAGTGGCATAGAAGATGACTGTGGCATGGGCGGTAATGGTGGCATGGATGAAACGGCGGCAAGGAATATAATCTGTGTCAGAAATCATTGAAAACACACGACACATAAGGCTACGAATGGACACGACTATCAACGCCACAGGGCATGAACTATCAAAAGAAGAAGACATTTGTGATACTGCAAGCTTCTGGTGGCCAGCTATCTTGCACCGTTTGTACAGACAGGAGCAAGCAGACAGCACGGCGCATGTTTTGCTAGTCTGACTCTATCTTGATTTTTTAAAAGCCTGCATAGTTTCCCGGAAAATAAGAGCTGATTATCTGTCACACTGGGTAATCGTGTAAACACAGCCGTGTGGACATGCTAGCTTTGTAGCTTCAATACATCCTTTTAAATCTGTCAGCTCCAGACAAGCATTTCTTCAGTTCTGTACATCTTGAAATTGTATTGCCTACAGCTATAACTTGCGGCATCCGTGGCTTAGGCGTAGCGAGTCCGACTCGTAATTCCAACGTACCGCGATCGAAACCCACTGCTGGCTGTGTTGATTTTTATCATGGTATGGGGCGTCGCAGGTCGACCCAGCCTGAAATGGGTACCAGGATGTATGAACTGGGAATGTAAAAACGGCCGGCGTAATGCTGACCACATTACCCACCTAGTGCCGATTGGTCTGTAAAAATATGGATGTTCTTCCCATGCCCCATGCGCCTACTTTTAAGAGCTATAACTTTCTGGGTCAAGAACAGTGAGTGGCTCTCGACCTTCCTAACGCCGCGACCCTTTAATACAGTTCCCTTTTGTTGTAGCGACCCACAAACAATAATTTTCTTTCATAACTTTAATGAATATGTGGCTACCCCTTTGAAAAGGTCATTTGACCCAAAAAAGGGCCACGACCGTCATGTTGAGAACCGAACACACTGGTCTGGATAGTTTATAACCCCCTTGTGGGTTTGGGGACTCATCTGAAGCAAGCATATCGCAAAAGGCAACTAATTATAGATGTTTACTTCCTTCAGGTATAGAGGCAGACCAAGAGAGATAATGCTGGATTGCATGGAGGGTCATCATCAAGAGAGCTGTTCCAGTCAACCAGGTAACGTTGATCTGTGGAGTCGCATGAGCGCCTACAGCCAGTTAGCAGGGCATATAATGATGACGATGATGACTTCCTTCAAAGTCGGAGTGCGTCTGTCTGAAAGGCGAAGACCCCCCCCCCCCGCCCTCCCCCCCCCCAAACCCCCCCCCCCATAAGTTTTTAACACTTTGGCTCGGTAGTATGGATATCGCAACTTTTCGGCCTTGATTCCATGATAGATACTGTAAATCTGGGAGAAAATGTGGCTTAAGCCTGATCTGTAAAATGGTTGTGCGAGGAAAATTCAATTTCTGGAATATGACTACAAATCCAGAAATGGACGAGCAACCAGAACTACCCGTCAGAGTTTACAGCCGGTGAACGCGAAGAATACGAAGAAGAAGCCGGTTGTATGTTTACAATAACAGGCTAATGGGAGTTTCTCCTGCTTTTTCCAACGATTGCTATAGATGTAAATGTTCTCTCTCTCTCTCTCTCTCTCTCTCTCTCTCTCTCTCTCTCTCTCTCTCTCTCTCTCTCTTTGTTGTTTTGTTGTTGTTGCTACATTGAAACA